TTGCAATTCTTCAGCTGGCTACATTCCTGGCTTACCCTGCACCATCTTGTAGCCCCGCACCTACCTGCATGTTCCACATATTGTAGTTTACAAACGCCAACGCTCTACCCATATATCATATATCCTTCAAATATTACGAACCCCCATTGCAAGGACCCCAAAACGCTCCTGTTTCGACAAGCCCCGCTGACATTCTGGAACAGGCCTTGCAAGACCCTGTGATTTCTGAGCCGGATGCCGAAGAAGCACCTGAGGGGGATGGCGAAGCAAAACGCTGAGCATGTGGGGTTTAGGGTTTGGAGCAGTCCGAAACCCTACACCCCGTGTAGGGTTTAGGGTCTAGAAGGCGCTGTCCATTCAGCATGACTTCAAGCATGTGATCCAACACCAACCCCGACCTAATCAAGAAAAAGGCAGCTTCCCGCAGAAGTATAGAAAACAGTCTTGAATGCAACAGTCTTGAATGCGGGGCGAATCACCTCTCCCTCCAAGCAGCTGCAGCTTCCATTTCCTACATGACGGCTAAACCCCCAAACTTCTAAACCACTAGATCTGACATCTAACAGCATGACCAGTTTCTCATGAGTCTACTCGGGCAGGTTTGTCGAAAGTGTTCAGTTTGGAAGCCTGCATGGTTAGGAACATTATCCCCTGATAAGTGTGATATAGTTTCAATGACAGTATCATGTGCCCCAAACCCCAACACCTTATTCTACTTACTTATGCCCTTACATTTTCAAGACCAGAAGGGCGCAGGTAATGAAACCCAATCTGTTAGGCGAGCGTTTCTCTTAGCATCATGGGAGATGACGCAGACAGATCCTAACTTCTCGTGATCGACGCATTTGGGTTTAGACACATATGGGTTTATAGGGTTTAGGGCAAAGATGTGCAGTTAAGATGCGCTTACACTCATCCAAAGAGAGATTAGCAATTGGAAATCCCATACAGTGGCCTTGTGCAACGTAGCCATCTTGCTGCCACGTGGTACAGAAGGAAATGCTGTCAGGCACCCCGACCGCAGAGTGGCAAGACAAAAGAACTGCTGGAGCGTAGCTTTCTCATGCAGACTCATACGGGAGTGTGAGGGATTTGGACCATTCATTGGGCATACAGGAGGCCGGTGCGTGCTTCCTCTTGGATCCCTGGCCCACGATTAGGCCCTATCAACAGCTCAAACACCATTCCTTCCAGGCTTTGGAACGCTTAAAGGAACTTTGCCAAAGCTACATGATTGGCGGCTACGATAACTACTCTGTCAGCTGCTGTCGTCTTTTACTCAATAAGCCCAAAGTTAGTCTGCAGGAGATGTTTCGGGAGATGCAGCCTTCTTTCGCCGCTTGGGAGAGGACGAGGACCTCAAAGGTTCTGGCTTCATGGGCGGTCTTGGGTTCTTTGAGAAGATCAAGTCTTTGGGACCAGCACTCGTGGAGGGTGTGTCTGCATTTCCTTGCAAGCATTCAGGATCAGTAAGGCTGGAAAGGGAACCTTGCGAACCAGAATTTGGGGCAGCCTGGGATGGCAGCCATAAGGGCCACTTTCCGTTAGACAAGCCGCGTCCAAAGTGGCGAGGGATATCGGCAAGGAGGGCTCAGGGTTGCCTTGTGGATTTAATTTGGCCATTCAGAATCAAGACGGTGCTCGTCATCGTGGCTTGCAATGCCCGATGTTGAAACTACGCCACCCTGGCAACCACCCCGAAAGCTGACTTTCGTTGTTGTGTCTAAGGGCTAGTGCTTCGCAGTTCAATGTACAGTCCAAGAGACCAAAACAAAAAGCCAACACACGCAACTGGCAAGCCCCAAGAAGTTTTGGTTTGCTGTCCGCTTTTCACATTTGTTTCGTTGTGATAGAAACCCACCCAAGCACACGGTGTGTTTTGTGATTCATGTGAAGCAAAATGCCTGGGAATACTCTAAGCTTTCAGGCGAAATCCTTCAAAGCACCACGACAGCAAATGATTTCTTAGGCTTGTTTGGACCCTCATTGAAATTTCAGCAAACCCTCCTTGTCTCTGGGAATGTGCCAGAATGCTAGAAGCCAGGGCAGCCTTGGAAGCGTTGGTTAGTGCGCCCTCAGCTCACCCTTAGTGAGCTGACTATTCATTCCAATCAAGCAACATTGAAAGGTAGAAAGGTCTCAATCATATTTCTGGTGGGCTTAGCTCTCCAACTCCAGCCTAGAGCACCCCTGTTTTGACAACTGCTCCAAGTGGCGGGTTGAAGCCCAAGTCCTGACCGGGTTTTAGAAAGGAGTTTCTTGTCAGCAAATGTGTGTGTGTGTGCGCATGTGAAAAATGATCCGCTTTAGTCACCTTTCGGCGACCTATCTGTTTCGTATTACCCTAGAATGCATGGGGACAGACCCATGGGGTACCTGTGCCAACGAAGTCATACACCATTGGAGAAGCGGAGATTGATTGATCACCTCCGTGTGCCTCCAGAGCGATCTAGAAGCTAGATCCTTGTCTGCTAAGCTGTGCATTGTTTTGCAAGCTGTTGTCTGGCCTCAGAGCACGCTTTTTCAGCTTGCGTAGCTGACGGACAGTCTGAATGCTGCTATGAACAGAGATTTAGACCGTCAATCTGAGCAGTTCTGTACCGCTTCCATAGTGTTTTGACCAGCTTGCACAGTGATTTAGACGATCAAAGCAGTTCTGTACCGCTTTCCATAGTGTTTTGAGCAGTTTGCACAGTTAGAGCAGTTTTGATAGACCGGGTCTATGGCAGCACCTCCCCTATAAGGCGTCGAACTTGAGAAGCACACTTGATGAGAGTTATGTCTTGCACGCCAGTGTGTATGCTGGACCATTGCTACATCAGATAAAGGTTGCATGGTGTGCTATGGAGCCATTATACACTCCGTGGCCGGATCCTTCTTGTAGTAGATCGCAGGTGCCCTCGGCCACATTTACCATTCGTGGCTTTCCGCAGCATGGTTCAGACAGATGGGGATGCATATGTTTCGAAGGTCGTAATGAGACCCAGATATGACCGCTCTCAGAGAGGCTTATCTAGGATCCGCTAGGCTTTGGAGCATGCGTGGTACATGGGGTCAGAACGCTTTAAGATCACCTTGAACTGCGAAGCAGGATGATGAAGACGATGACAAGAAGAAGAAGGACGAGGGGCCCAAGGCTCACCATGGGGCGCAGCTTTGCGCGGTCGCAGTCAAGCGTGACATTTTCCGTCTACCCCTGCTGTACTTCTATGCTTGGAGTAGAAGCCTCCAAAGCTTGTTGCTGATTAGTTCCAGGCTGATACTGCTGGATTTGATTCCCGGATACAGGACATGGATCTCGAAAATCAAGCAAAGCGCAAGTGCCAAGCTTAGCAGTGTCTTCTGAGATTCTGATGTCACTCACCTCTGCGCAAGACTGGCGGCTCCGTCGTGGTCGTGGTGGAGTGGACGGATCACCAGTGGCAGGCAGAGCATCAGAATGTAGGTAGATGGAATAGAAACTGTAGCTAGCCTTTCTGACGATATTTGGACTTTTTGCGGGTCGTGAAATTTCCTGAGCATTTTGACTTGAGGCAGGAATTGCATGTGATGCTTGTGACGGGGCACATTCTTCTCTACTCATGAGTTCACACGCGAATCCCAACTTTGCAACAGTCTCCAAAAACAACTGCCCCTGGATCTGAATACGTCTGAATGAATTGCTGCGCTTGCGGAGCGGGATTACGGAGCACAGAGAGAAACTTGGTTCTGAATTTCGCGGAGCAAGGGACGGTGTCAGAAGTGAGGGAATCACGCCTATGATCCTCCACTACACTGCGGACTCTGCACAGCGCAATTTAGGTCGACTGTTGCAGTTGGCTCCGACGTTCTGCCCGTATGGCCCCGTGGTCAAGTTGTCTGTCTGTCTGTCCGTCTGTCTGTCTGTGCCTATAAACGTGACTAGGTAACGCCAGCCTGTTCTGAGAGCACCCTGACGTCAATTTCGCCCTTGGCCTCTGAATCATTTGGCGCAACTCGTCTCCCAACTACTATGGTACTATGCCTCTGTCAAAATGGGCCTCAGAAGACTACTGTGCTTTGAAACGCAGTCTGCTTGGGCGTCATTCCAGCCTGAAAGCTGCCAACCTTCGCGCTTGACCTGTGCCAGGACTTTGTGCACGCAGCAAAGCAGGATGGAGTGACGGAGGATGGGAAGTGAACTTTGTTGTAAGGTGGGGGTGTACTCACAAAGCGGGAAACCCGTACCAAATGCAGATTTCTACTTTTGAGTAGGTTGCCATAGATTCTATAGGACACTCTGAGTTCATGTGTGACTGGATTATGGTTGGTGAGTACATCAAGCACCATGCCTGATACGTACTGTCTACAACATTCTCGTTGCACAGAAGGATCTGACAATTAGTTCTAGACATCCCCAGTAACCCCAGAGTGCATTCTCTGGCCCAGCCCAAGCCATCACCCCCCAGCCTCACATTCTCCTACATGGATGCAGGACGACTTTCCCAAGCTGCGAGCAATGATACCCTGCCATCACGCACCCATCAAAGAGGCGGGGCCTGGGTTCAGTTGCTTGGCTGCTAAGACTATGTGCAGTGTTCTTAGTAATTTTCACTTGCAGCAGCTGCAGCTTCAGCTGCCACTGCTTGCAGTATTGCCGCTACCAGTCTGCTCCCACCACTTCTGCAGTTGACACTGCTGCTGCTACTGTACGACCGCCACCGCCACCAACACCACCTGTAGGTCTAGGGTTTTCTGTTTTTTGAGCATGTGCCCGCTTAATGCAATGTGACAGCACATCTCAAACAGGAAGAATCTGACTTTGAGATCCCGACCAGGTCAGGAGACCATCGTCACGCATGCAACATAGCATGGTACATTCCAAAAACTCGAATCTGAATACCAACTGTTTGTGAACTATTCTCTAGGTCTGACACATGAGAGATGAATGTCAAGAAGCATGGGACCAAGTCATCTTCAACACCCCACTCAGATGATACGGTGAACGCCTTGCTTCTTAGCTGACGTTCAGCTTTGTGGAGATGGAGCAGCTTGGATACCTTTCGAGTGATCTTGTGTTTCCTGCGATTGCGATTGCCATCGGAAGCGCGCATTGGCATTTTCTAGGCGAACACGTCCTGGGTGGGCTCCAAGCCGCCTACAGCCGTCTCTCCACAACGCAGCGAGAAGTGTCTGCAAGCTGTTCCGGCGACCGTGTATTTCAGCGGCTTGCAAAAATCAGAGCATTCAACTACAGCACTGTGTCTCTAATGGGCATACATTTCGCACTGTTGGTGGCATTGGAGCGCATATCCCGATTTCTTCGAGAGCCCTGCATTGCAAACACGCTGCCAATCCTTGTGGTGCTGTTGCTGGGATATCTCCCTGACGCAACTGCAATCTGTTGGCGTGCGCAGCTGACGAACAATACTTTGACACGTCTCAGCTGCCTTCTCTGCAGCTTCTTTCATGCGTACTGTCTTGCATGCGTTGCAGACTCTAGCAGCGCGACGGACCATATATCGATGCTCAGCCTGATGACAACAGGTCACATGCTTGCTGGGCTTGTGTTTCTCAATGCTCGGATGTGGATTCCATCCACTATTGTCTTGTTTGTGAGCCATCTTGCAGTTTTTCTGTACAAATTCGGGTATGACGAAGTCAGCCCGACGTTCCTTCTAAACTATTTCCACCAATTGTTGCAAAGCTGCACCATCCTCGCAGGGGTGGAGATTGGCATATGTGCCCACCTCAAGTCGGAAATTGATGCTCGGTCACCCAAGTGTACCCTTTTCCTCTTCGTTGATGTCCTAGGTTCCAGACACACTCGGTACCCCGAGAGAAGTGTACTTAAGTGTACTTGTTGGGGGTAGGCCTCTGGCAGACCTAGGACAACGAAGATCATCAAACAATGATGGTTGGTTTCCAAAAGATCTTAAAGGGGCTCTGCGACGGCAGCCTTCTTCTGGACCAGGAGATGACGGTGCGTGGTTCTCAATCCTGTTTGCAGCGCCTACTCTCCACCCGCAAGAGCTTTGAGGGAACTGACTTCAGAACCATGATTGCTTGCCCAGAAGACAAGAAGAACTTTGCCACCCTTGTGGGTGCATCCATTACATCATCCGACCTCGCTGACGCTTCACCGCCTCCATGTTTGCGGATCAGCTTGTCAGAAGCTGGCCAGGTTGCATCAGTGGATGTCTTTCATGCTGTTTTGCCAGGCCTGCTGACGGTCTAGGGTTTCCGGGGTATAGGGGCATAGGGGCTAGGGGTTTTGGGGTGCGGGATTTAGGGTGCCCAGGGGTACAGCCGCTCCGGAGATTGGGGTTTACGGTGTTGCCAGGCCTCTTTGGTGCGGAGCGACATCACATCTTAGCATTTGTGGAGGACACTGCAGGGCGCCAGGCTCCACTTGCCACGCATGGCACCCCAAACTCTGATCAGATGCGTGGTGGAAGACCCCTGGAGTCTACTTGCAACACATTTTCATTTTTGTTCTTGTAGAGTCCTATAGAATTCTTACTGAAGCCGAAGCGTGCTGCGCTTGTCGTGACGAAAGAGGTTTCAAGCGTTGGCCGTTTTCCCTGCCGAGCGAGTCGGGTGTCTCCTCGAGGGAGTCGGAAGCTGCCTCGTCAGCAGGCGCACGATGCAATGAGGTCCTGGAGGTCTTGCAAAATTTGGTGGAAGCCACGTTTCTCATCGACCCCTGCTCCCCAAATGCAGATCTCTTGGAGGCTCACCTGAAGTTCCACAGAATGCATCCTGTACAGCAGCCACCTTCGATGAGGATGCTAAGCAAGATTGACGAATGGGACGATCTGCAGAGGCTGCTGACAACATATGCCTTGCGGGTGCTGCAGGGGGCTCCTGACTTGCCAGTGGCGATGAGGGCCATGCAGCTACGAGTTCCTGGAGCTCCCCGGAAGCTGCTCAAAGCCAACCAAGTACGGCTGAGCGTTGCAAACCGCAGCCGGGAGTTCGGGCAACCGATCTGTTTGTACCTTCACTTGAAGAGTTTTAACAAGAAGTATGCGCGGCCCAGTTACATTACCAGCCTGCAGAGCAAAGCGCTCCCGGAGCAGCTGGAAGATGATTCTAATGAGGTTTCAGAGCAGCCGGAGAATGTTTCAAGTTCGGCTGAGGACACAAAGTCTAACGCTGCCGATAGCCTTTTAGATCAAATCCCTGCGCCGCAATGTCTACCAGCAGATGTTTGTGTGGTCGGGCCACTTTGTCACTTTTGATGCAGCCAGGCAGCGTTGAAGCCTGAATTTCTGTGAAACATTTGGGAAAATGTCATCCCATGAGAACCGATGCTTGCATGCTCAAAAGGGCTCCAGCCAAGTGGTTATTATTTGTGGCCCTCCCCCAACCCTCAACCCTTGGCCCAGTGTCCTTTTCTGTAGTCTCTGAAGTGGATTGGAGCTGAGGGTCCGAAACTCTTGAATGTCAGAGTAGTAGCCACAGACAAGCCACGTAAGGAAGCTAAAGAGGGCCGGGATGGACCTTTCAGCAGACGGACCATAAGTTCATGGCATGTAGGTTGACATGTTGACTTCAGACTATGGGTCTTGCCTGTTTGACACGGCCTGCAGAGTGACAGCAACCCAGCAAAGGGGGCTATGCAAGGGGGATTTGGGATGGGAAGGGGTCTGAAGTTGAGTTGAGTGGAACTCACAATACGCAACCTGCACCACAAGAGATGCAGCAAAACTTGGACTTTCATAATAAGCTTTAAGCTTTACGATCTGAATCTGACTTGTATCGGCCCCATACCTTAAACCCACACAGTTCAGGGTTTACAGTTTCGGATTTGAGTATGGTTAGACTGTTGCCCTGAAGGTGGTTCCCTTCCTCTACCTCATGCATCAGCTTGAGCTGATCAGGCAAGACTTGGCAAAACCCGTGAAAGGTTTAAGGGAGTAAATAGTGAGGGGCCTACCCGACTTGACTCTTCTGTTGCTTGAGGCGTTATCGCGTTCTGCTGTCGTAGGTCTCCTTGAGGGCCAAAATCTCTGCACTCTAAGCTGCCACGACTTGTGGTCTCAAAGTCAGAAGTCTGAGAAAGAAAGAGGCCACTCCTGGTCGTTCCAGCAGTAGCTACAGGTTTTTCTAGGCATGAATCAGTGTTTCGGATCGACAACGGCGCCGAACAACAGGAGCAGCATCAACAAATGCGCGAAACAAAAGGTTTGAGGTGTGTGTGACCTCTACACCTTACGTCCAAACTCCAAACCAAGCAGCGACAAAGAGTGTGTGGCCCGATACCTGTAGCCCACAGACCCGAAACAGCATCCGCGGGGATCCGGCTAGATCCTGTTCGTGCTACAGCATGATCCGACGCCATGCGCTGATGTAGTTGGTGAAGTTGGGTGGCGCAAATGTATGCCGAATGAAGCGCTTCTACTGGCAGCGGGGTTAGCTACCTGATACGCTAGTTATGGTTGTGCGTCCCTCGCATGGTCGAACGCCCCCTATGAGCGGATGTCTTCAATGAAGTTTCCTGGATGAAGTCAGTAGGGGAGGTCTCAGATATTGGAGTACTGCCCCACATATTGCCCTTCATACAGCAATTGTGCTTCAGAAGCAGTTTCGTTTCCTTGGCCTAGGCTTGGCAGTTCTATGCAGCATGCCTTTCACCAAGCCCCAATGAGGGAGGGCTGTTGGGTGTGTGCATCGTGTTCCTGTGTTCCATGAAATTGACTTGCGTTTACATTTGTCGTCCCATATTGGGGTGCGAGTAAACACCATGAAACGCCGACCTCAAATCAAATCCCAAACAGTGAACCTCAGTAAGCCAACATGAAGGTGTCTGGAATCCTTGGCGCCAGCTCGGTGTTGCAATGTAGTGTCTAGTTTTTTTTTTTGGCGAGTTTGAAGGTACTCTCATGGTTTAGGATGAGGGACAACCTTCAATCCATTCCATGTTGGTACTGAGATTCTTGGCAGGGTCCTGGGTATGGTTGTAGTATATTGCCCAGGAGTCAAGCTAACACCTAGAACAGTCATGTCCTCTCCTGTGGAATCCATCTACGTTTCAACGTGGAAGGCTGTTTTGGAAAAAACGTGGATCCCGGCATGACCTTGCAGCATGAGATTGGAATTCTGCCGCAACCCGTTATGCCCTGCAGCAGTGGCCCTTGAGATTTAGGCAGGCGATGCTGAGCACCAATCAAACAAGCCTGTAGACTTTTTTGCGTCTCCTGCCTCACATAGCTGGTTTTCGTAGGCGAATGATGCACACTTACACGGGGACCTTCATCATCATGGTCTTCATGATCTTTGGGGTAGGCGGTGCCTACTTCTGGCAACTCGGCACAATCTGAGCTTATCTTGTTGGGATTGGCCACAAAGGCAATCATAACTCAATGGGACATGTCTCAAATTCTGCTTCCTCTCATATATCTTGAAACAGGACCCCTATTGTCTTGGCTGCCCGGGTTTGTGCGACGAGAGTGGATTGCAGTAGGCACTAGAGTATGAGGCTGCATTTTGTGTGTAGAAGTCAGCTGTCAAAGGTGCTTAAGGCATGCGCGGCGGGACTTGGAGCCTCTTCCAGTTGTCATCAAATTGCGTAAAAAGCGCCAAGATTCTAAGCTCATGAAGTTTCAGATGAACACTCTAAAGGATAACTCCTCTATGAGGAACGGAGCAAGAGGCAACAGCCACTACCCATCAACCAAAATCCATGAGACATCTAGAAGTTTCAAACTAACCCTGCGCCCTAAATCCCAAACCCAGAGCCGAATCCCAATGCTCCAAATCCTAGACCTTCAATCCTAAACCCCAAGCTTGAAATGCTAAACTCCTCCAACTTCCGGGACCCCAAGCAAATGCCAGTTCAACTTTGGGATCATTTTGAGTAACTTTTCGCGGGGGATCAGGGTTTGGTGTTCAGGGTGAGGACCTTGCATGAAATTGGTGCCGCCAAAGCAAAAGCATCTTTTCCCATGTTGACATGGCTCAAACACCAGCCCGCCCCAGCCCAGAGAGCTCGCAGCTACTGTCTTTAGCAAGAAAAGCCAGGTCGAATGGGCTAGTACCATCATGGTTATTTAGGACCCATGATACCAACATTTTATAGTATCCTGCGGTGTTTCTGGTGCCGGATGCCGACTTGCAGGAGTTAGCTATTTGGTACAAAACGAAATTGCATTCGCGGGACTATTGCCCCGATCCGAGACGCATGTGCAAGACAGTGTTCTGCAATCTTTCTTTTAAGATGGGATCGTTGAGACACAGGCGCTTGAGACTGAATCTGCTTTGATAGATAGTAAGTCGTATTTTCCCGTAGCCTCATCCCAATGCCATGTACTAGCTTAAGTGAAACAAACGTTTATTTTCGTCAACCAGACTCTGAGCTCCGCGGACGTCAATTCCAGTCCCCATCGGCAGACTTCAGCTCAATAAGAGGTACTGGGCCAGCGTGATGAGAACCAGTCAGCGAAGGTTGGCACACTGGGTTAAGGGGTGAGGCTGAGAGTGTGAGTGGATGAGGGGGGCGGGGGCCGAGGCTTTTAAGTTTTCAAGCGTAATCTGGACCTGGGATATCCTGGGATCTAGATTGATACAACCTAGACACAAAGCTTCGGGGATCCGAGAGAGACGGACAGCCAAGGTTTCGGTATTTAACTTGCATGTTGGTTGGCCTTGGAAAACACCTGGTTTGTACATGTTCCACTGAGCACTGTGTAGAAGGACCAGACTTCGTCGCCAAATATGGCTTTTGCATGTGGATCTAATTTTGAACAGAACAACCGCCAAGAATGGTGCATGCCGGCCCTTGTGTCCAACGAGATCCCAGGCCACGAGACTATTTCCCTGTACCCCCAGCAATACCCATTCGGGACTCCTACCATTTTTCAGGACAGCATGGCAGTCCAGGTTTTAATATGACACAAGTTTCCGCAGCGCTCAGAAGTAAGATCTCAGCACTGTAGTCCCAGTTGTGGGGATAAAGGAATTATTCTCGTACTCTCTATCCCCAATGATCTACAGCTTGCACAGCTATGTTATTGGCAAGCTTTATCGAATCGACGCTAGAAGAGAGTCAGCGGATTTGTCCATTGTTTTTCTGTTAGGGAACCTTTCGTGTGCTTTGCGGTTACCACAATGGTTGCCTCGCAAAGGTTTGGACACATGGGTTACGTACATACGTACACACATACATTACTTACATACATTACATACATTACATACATAACATACATAACA